AGTTCACGAATCCAAAATTAGTAACAGTACGAAATCAACAAGCACGAACATGTAAAGATGCGCAGTAAACGAAGGAGTACTGATCGGTATCAAAGTGTGCAATAGCAAGTAAGTGATGGGCTTCATCCATACCACATACAGCGTGTTCAACCTCTCCTGCCCCGGGATTATGAGCCCCGAGTTGCTTTTTGTCGCACAATGTTAGAAAGACACAGGAAAGATCCACAGTTCTTTGAAAAAATTTTATGGTCGGATGAGACCACATTTAAGAAAGATGGGTACATGAACCTGCATAACTTACACGAGTGGCACGTAGCAAACCCACATTTGATGAGAGAAGATAAATCTCAATATCGCTTCAAGATAAACCATTGGACAGGAATTTTAAATGGTAAAATAAATAATCGGTCCGTTTGAATTCCCAGAGACTTTGACTGCTGAAGTTTATTTGGATTTTTTAAAAAATCATGTACAAAATTTATTGGTGGACGTGCCACTGAGTATTTATATGGACACGTGGTTTCAGCATGATGACTGCCCAGCGCACTATGCACTCTCAGTGAGAGAGTATCTCGATCAAAACTTTCCAGGCAGATGGATAAGGCGGTCTGGTACAATACCGTGGCCAGCCCGATCACCTGATTTGAATCCGTTAGATTTTTTTTACTCAAAGAAAAAGTGTATTTCAAGCCGATTCAAAATGTAGCTGAGCTACGGCAAAGACTATTGGAAGCAGCTGAGTTTGTTAATAACCGTGGATTCGCTCGTTTAATAACCCGATCTTTTTTAAGAAGATGTCGAGCGTGTATTGCGGCTGAAGGAAAACAGAGCATTTGCTGTAAAGGTAAATCATCATCAGCAGCATTTTGACGCCCACTGTTGTGCAAACAGTTATCCTTAAGGGTCCTTGTGCGTGTTCATACTCGCTGTTTGATTAGGAAATTTTGAAAAGTTTTCATCAGTTTTTCTTCAAATAAAAATTGTCCATAAGTTGACGAGTAATCTTCTAAGTGTTATACCATTTTGGAATCCTTATTAAATGCGCCAACTATTAAGGTTACTTGCCAAACTCTCGTAGTAGATTTTTTTCCAGTACAGCCAGTTAAAGTTGAGCAAAGTTTTACTTTAGAATACTTGGTTGGGAAATAAGTGGCAATTTTTCCTGAACGAGAAAAGTTGGCAGTAAGGTTGAGACACCAGTTTTAAGATGCATTATTCATCATTACATTGTAAAAATAAAATCCAAAAAAAGTTAATATTTGTAGTAACAGGACTTGACAGACTGCCGTATGGTGTGAAATTTCTATATCTTTTTCAAAGACCTATAATTTTCAAAACACATACATAAAATTTTTTTAAATATTTTTCTGATAGCTGTTACGACTTTGCCTATCACCCGGTTTCGGCTTGACGTCGACTTCTGGGACACCCTGTATATATATATACATAAGTGTATCGTCCGCAAATATTCGAATTTTGCAGTGTTCTAAAATGTCAAAGATATCATCTATATAAATAAAATATAGTATCGGCCCTAATTTACTCCTCTGTGGCACCCCTACTGATATATTTTGAACACTTGACATAATATTTCCAACCTCAGCTTTTTGACTTCTATTTACTAAATAATTTTGTAAAATGTGTAATACTGATCCTTTAAAGCCATAGTGATGCAACTTCATTAACAATTTTTCCCTATATATAGTCTCAAATGCCCTTTTGAAGTCTAAAAATACTGTTACAATATATTCTTTCTCATCTATACTTCTTCTCCAGTCTTGCACCACCATTTGGATTGCTGTTTCTGTGAAACATTTTTTTTTTCTAAATCCAGCTTGATTTTTTGTCAAAATTTTGGTTTCTTCAAAGAATTCTATGATTTGTTCGTATATTATCCCTTCGAACAACTTCTCGGCATCGGGCAAGACATTAATCGGACGCATATTTGTATACAGCTGAGAATTTTGAACTTTTGGCACAGGAGTAATCGTGGAACACTTTAATTTCGATGGGAATTCACCATGTACTAAACAATGATTCGCCAATAATAATAATTTCTCTCCAATTATATTGAAACAATCATTTAGAATATTTTTATTAGATTGTTGATGTTAATTGTCCTAAACTGCTTCATTGATGAATTCTGATAAACTTGTAATGGACATAAGTTTGGATCACCGTCATCAATCGTCTTCACTATTTGATTTACACTTTCTATGAAATAAGTGTTCAATCTTTCTGCTATAATTTATTTGTCTGTCTCTACCCCATCTTAGAAACGCATTTTAGATGATTCAGTGTTTCAATTAGGAGAAACAATATTCTTTAATGTTTTCCACATCATTTTAGAATTATTTTTATTGCTATCGATGTTCTTATCATCGTACTTTTTCTTTTCCCTCCTGAGAACTGCTACACACTCATTTCTTGATTTTGTATATTGTTTCCAATCATTTTCACGTTGGGTTACTGAAAATTTTCTGTAGTCGTTATCGCGTTTTTATTTATACTCCTTGAATATCTGTCAAAACGAAGGTGTTGGGTTCTCTCTTTCATATATTATTTTCTTGACCAAAGCTTCACTAATATATTTATCCATATTATTCATAATTTCTTTGACAGTAAAGCATATTTATCTATCTATATCATATTAACGATAGACACTAGAATATTTCAATTTCTCACATAATACAGTATTTATATTTATGCATAGGTTGAATTACTACATGGGTCCGTTACAGATATCGCTGGGCAAAATGTGCGCAGATCTTGCTAAGTACCTGATCATTTTTGCAATTGTGATAATATCCTTCTCGGCTGGATGCTGTCGGCTGTACCAATATTATGATGGTATGGTAAAAGTGGATGAAAATCAGATCAAAACACAGCAGGTAAAATAATGAATTTCATTGGAAAGAGTGATGTCCCTAAGAAAAAGTAACAAAGTTGACAATAAGACTGAAAGACAGTGTCAGACTTATAGACCTTCCTTGAAGCTTCATTGAAATCAATAGATATCTCCTTCGAAACAGTGAAATAATGAGGCTTCCTTGAGAAACGTTCAAGGGAAGATTTAAATTTTCATTTCACAGTAGACTGTAATAGTTTTGTCGTCGATGTCAGAAAGATTTTTCTCAAAAACGGTGACACTTTTATATAGGTAATTTTTTGTTATTTGGGAGGTCAATCCAAAGCCCACCTTCTCCTTAAGTTTGTCGTGGTACTTATTATTATCCTGTATGTAAGCTCTGAAGTTACCGCCTCTGCCCTTTTGCCTATTTGCAATGGGGTGCCGCGGGGATCAATACTTGACCCCCGCTATTTCTAAGCTGTCTAGACCTTACCAAAACACGGGTGTGCAGACACTGACTGACATCTTTTGGCTTTTAGCCAACAAGTTGTCGCTAAATGAATTTACCTCTGACAGGTGGGTTGTGAGATCTGAACCAGTAAAACTTCTAGGAGTAGTACTCACTACTAGACTAAATGCAAATAAAGAACAAAGTTTGCTAAAAACATTGCATAACCACTGTTCCTATTCAGATGATGAGCACGTTGATACTATGACGTAACTCGTATAGACAATAAGTTAGTTTGTAAGATCTCACATGTTCGTTGTATATAATATATACTAAGTGACATATAAATCCGAACACAAAGTTTAAATGGTTTTATTTTAATAAAAGTTGGTGAATGTATTTATCTTACTGTAAATAACAAATGAAAAAAATTTCAGCCTTATCAGTTGGACATTTCGGTTTTTATACTGCTTTTTTTTAATTCACTAACGCTTTAAAAATGAATATTTCAGCCGCAGTAAAGAATCAACGTTGGCGGATTTTGGTTCTTGACATCCTTTACGATCGGTTACGATGCCTAGAGTACGGAGACCTGTACGATTTCGTCAACTTGGTGAGTTTGATAGGGGCCGTATAGTGGGACTTCGGGAAGCTGGACTTTCTTTTCGGGCAATTGCAGTTAGAGTGCAAAGAAGTGTAGACACTGTGGTTAGGTGTTGTCAGGCATGGCTTCGAGAAGGCCGTACGCAAAGAGCAAGGGGCACTGGATGCCGCCGTAGAACAACAGACCGTGAAGATCGCCGCCTAAGATTATTGGCCTTAAGGGACCGTTTCTCCACTACCAGGTCCATTTCAAATGAATGGTTTGCAGAACACGGAAGACCTATTGGCATGCGAAGTGTTTACCGACGAATGAGAAGTTTTGGCTTGTTTTCATACCGGCCACACTGGGTCCTCCCTTTAACTCGAGAACACCGACGTAATCGCCTTGAGTGGTGCAGACAACGGTCACTCTGGGATCAGGAATGGAACAGTATTGTCTTTAGTGACGAGTCTCGATTTTGTTTAGGCATGCACGATGGTCGTGCCAGGGTTAGAAGGCGACGTGGTGAAAGGAGGAATCCACAGTTTTTTGTTGAAAGACATGTTCATCACACTGTTGGAGTTATGGTTTGGGGTGCTATAGCTTATGGTTCCAGGTCACCTTTAATCTTCATCAGAGGTAACATGAACGCGCAGCGTTATATCCACGAAGTTCTAGAACACCATCTTTTACCCTATCTTGACACCCTGGCAGATCCAACTTTCCAACAAGATAATGCCCGACCACATGTTGCAAGAGTCACAATAGACACACACACAGGAGGACATTGACCACCTGATCAGAAGCATGCCTAGGCGCGTTGGAGAATGCGTAGCACATCAGGATGCATCCACACATTATTAAAGGTCAAAGGGCTTTAAAACAGTGCAATCATTTTGAAATTTTTATCATTTACTTATTATGCTTCATTAAGTACTTATACAAAATTTTATTAAAATAAAACCATTTAAACTGGGTGTTCGGATTTATATGTCACTTAGTATACATAATGAGGTGAATAAATGGAATGGTAGGCTATAATAAAACAATAAAAGTTCGACAACTTTACGTAATATTGTGGATTTACTACATTATTCTGACAGATAAATAATTCCTACCTTTACAGGTGTCTTCCTTCGTAGATTTCGCCTCTACGCTCAAGACATTCTTCTGGGCGATACTCTGCATGGCACCCTTGGAATCCGCGGATGTTGTGATCGAAAATCTACCAGGAGAAAGCCCGGACACCACAATAATAAACACTCACGAATTCACCGAAGCAGTAGGTTAGTTTTATATAAGTTGTCACGCAGTATCTTACAACTAATATCATATAACTCGGGCAACATATGTAAGAGTGTAAATTGTTTAATCGGCAACATTGGCTCGATGCTACATAATTTTTTTTGTATTTCGATTACTTGCTTTAATATAATACCATAACCACACATTTTATTCATGGAAATGCTTATACCCCGCAAAGTTGGGGTTTTCCTTTACACGACGTGTAGATCTTGAAAACATAAGCAATTTTTCTTAGTACCATATACACCAATGTCTTAAGGGGACCGAGATAAAGGGCTCTGCAACATCAAAAATATCTGAATACCGTCCTGTAGCCGCGATATCCCCGAATGGTACTAGGACACTAGCTCAACCCGATGACAGAACTGGGTCGGGGTCAGTGTGTCAGGTCAGTATGCAACCTTCAACCGACGGTTACGGTCACGCGTGTAGAGGTAAACGAACCCATATAATCGATTGCGTTTCAAAAAACAACAAGCACTAGAGACGTGGCTAGAGAAGTGCAAGTATCAAAAACTAAAGTGTGGCAAACGCTGCGTGAAGAGAGGCTGTATCCGTTTCACGTCCAATGTGTACAAGCCCTTCAACCTAACGATTTTCCAGCAAGAGTGCGGTTTTGTGAGTGGTTGTTGCATCAACATGACAATAATCCGGACTTTTTGAAGTGCATATTGGTGACAGACAAATCTATGTTCACGCGTAATGGGATGAATAACTTTCGCAACACTCATGTTTGGTCATTACGCAACATTTTGCCTTCCTTGTTTGCCTGCGTCTGCTCGGTAGCGCATCAGTTGATTTCATTTTCTGTTGGAGCGGTATGATTTCGGGCAGAGACGTACTTAGCCCTTCTCGTCAACTGGAGAGTGAGTACTTTTTCCTTTATTTTTTTTACTTGGTCGTCCTCGTTTCACTACACATTACCTTTGTTATTTCAAGGGTAGTTGTTTCTGAAAAGGAAAACCTCAACTTTGCGGAGACCCTGTATTTATTGTTGAATATTTAAACTGCAGGGCCGATAACGTTGATTTAAGGGCCGCATTTTTGGCGCGCTTCGTAGTGACGTTACCGTTCCCGATATGTCATTTCGCCGTTTTTTTTTTTATTGTTTGCTGTCGGGTTTTTGAAATACCATTTGTTTGTAAAATTGCGCAGTATTTATAGGTTATATGTATTACCAGAAATTACACTTAAAAGGTTGAGAATTATGTAAAAAAAGATACGTCGTGCGTGCGTGCGTGTGTGAGTGTGTGGGTGTGTGTGTGTCTATGTATGTCAAGAACTAAGTCTATGGTCTGAAGTACACGGAAAACTTATAAAACAACCTAATAAATAACTGTATCTTTTGGAACTCATTATACATCAAACTGGCAGGTTGACAATCAATGAGAGTTAAGAACGAAAGACCGCCATTTTAAATCGGACTGACCATACCAACAAAGAGTTGGCTGATCACAAGTCGCGAATGGTGACGTCACGCCAATAGCGTTACGTTTCGACATTTTAAAATTACCGCATTTTTTCCTTTTTTTACCAATTTAGCTTTGTGGCCTCCTTGACTTTGATAGCCTTTTTTCTCCTTCAGAAAGGTTAAGGTATTTCTAGATTTATACTCTTCCTTGTCAGCGTCAGCGCACTCCTGTCTTGAGGCTGTTTTCTTTTTGAATTGAAACAGGGTACAGTAGAAAACTATGAAAATCAAGGAAACCATAAAGGCGTCCTACAATTGTAGGAACGACTGACGATACGGCTCGTCATTTGCAAGAGTTGCGTAATATGATTGGCAGAATATTGTATAGTGTTTATCTATTACAATAAGCTATGGTTAGATTATTTAGTAAATGCATCATGTTGTTGATAACTTATTACTTACTCTAAAATGATCTACTTCAACAGTCTGTCTTTTCTTAAACGGGTACAATATCTAACAAACTATAGAGGTTGTAGGTTTACGTTTTAATTGAATATCATTGAACTGCCCTTATACAAGCATTAATATTCGTGTACGCTGTACAAAATTCCTATTATATGGTTGTAAGACCGTACATTTCAAACGACTGCCTTCACCTTGGTTTATCTACAAATGCAAACAAATAACGAGAACTTTGTTTTTTAGGATACATAGCATTTGCAGTTTTCGAAGTATTGATTGTGATCATGATACTGAACATGCTAATTGCTACGATGTCAGCAACATTTCAAAGAGTGATAGACAATTTAGATGTGGAATGGACATTCGGCAAAACAGATTTTTATTTAGGTAATGTATAATTTAACAGCATATACAAGGTGACTTTGAAGTTGAGTCATTAATTTTCAGATAATGATTGTAGAAGGAAGATAAACCAAAATATGTGTGTAAAAATAAAAAAAAATTAAAAAAAAAATGTTACCTTGTTTTATAAGGTATCCTCCCGACAAGTATTTCAGTGCGGACCTGTATTTGATCGTGCGGTCTTGGAGCACCGCCATGCCCTCCCCTGTGAGGTCTTAAGTCACCTGATTCACGAGCCCTTTGTACTACATTCAGCATTTTCGTAAACATGTGCCATTTTTTATTCACTATTCACTCACGCGTTACCGACTGACACATCGACTGAATACAACTGAATAAGATTGTACATTGTTGTAAAGACATCGTTTCAAATTCTTTCGCTTTTTTGTTTCCGATGCGATGAACGGATAAGGTGGATTATATCCGTTGTTGCCAAACACGAGCACATAATATTATTATTGAGACAGAGCGGTACTCAAACTTCTAAAGGGCTATAACTTTGTTACTTTAATTTTACCAGAAACATGTTAAAGCAAAAAACATTTCTTTTGATCAGATCTACTCACTGTTAAAATAAATGACTCAACTTCGAAGTATGTCATCAGAATCTCAAACAGTCGGAAACAACTTTATTGGATGATGATGCGTTAATACGAGGGTAGACTCAAAAATGAGATTCCCAACGTTGTATCTTTGCCGCACGTGATGCCAGGCGAAGTCTGGCAACACGGTCGTATTCTTCGCCTCCCCCACCACCGATCCCAACAAGAAGTGCCTATTTGCGATGCTCAGTACCGGTCCGACAGCCATGCGCGATGAAGTCCTTCATCGCAGTCACCGCCAAGTGCGAAATTCGTGCGGTTATCCGGTTTTTGCACGCAAAAACGTTACCACGCATAGAAATTCATCGCCACCTAACGGGGCTCCTACAATCCCGAGCACCATCTGCTGAGGTAACGGGGGGGGTGAAAAGGAAACGAGGGTGGGCTGGCCTTAGACCGTCGTCGGCGCTACTTTAAAAGAGGAAAGGATGACTGCGGGTGCGTACCGAGGTAAATTTTTATAATAACAGAGTCGGATTTCGATTAGCGATCTAGCCTGTAAATCGTTTTCTATTTTGGTACCTACTCAGCAAGTGATCATTTAGTATTGTTCTACCCCTGTTACTGTTCGTCAATATTGCGTTGTTGAATTGTTGTGCTGTACTCTTGTTGGTGTGATTGTTGTGAGTTTAATTCATGATGAGGACAACAATAGTGTGGAGCAGCTCAACTCTATAATCGCAAAATACATTGGGGTACGCGTATAAATTATTGCAAGAAGATGTCACACCATGGAAGATGTGCTGTAGCTGTAGTGAGCCACAATACCGAGCGGCCTGTCTATATGGTCCAAATACATTTTCGTTCTAAGCTTAGTCCAACCTCGCTTATCACTAAGATGGAACAAAGACTCAAACGCAAGAATCTTGAAAAGAAACTCAGACCAAAAAGCTGATACAAAAATAACTAACAATTCGGATAGCAATTCCAAAGAAAATGAATAGTTTTATGGCGAATTCTGTCAAAAATCTGACATGAACGACATTGATTTGGAGGTTGCTAAGCAAGAATTTTTAGGGAAAGTGACGACGAGATTTTGCAGATCGAACAAGTCACCAAATCACAGGACTGTACTTTGTGGCGTCTTCAACGGAGGATAAGGTTGACAGCGTCGCGATTTGGTGAAGTTTGTAGAAGAAGGCATACAACAAGCTGTAAAGTTCTAGTAAACTCCATCATATACCCAACAGAGTTTTCTAGTAAGGCAATAAAAAAGGCAATACAAAAATCATTGGACAGGCAGTTCAATCTTGTGGTTTGTTTATCACAGCAGACAAGACATGTACTTAATCCAGGTATAAGCCTACCTGTTTATTGCTTTGCAAAAACTACCTATCTGTTTCCTCTTATTTTGACTGCATAAGATATTTTTATGACCCTCGTTCAATTCTACCATCTACTACATGACTCTTGTAAACATAATTGTGTTTATTGATATGAATGAACGAATTTAAATGTAAGTTCTTGAATTTATTTTAGGAAAGATATAAAATTAGTTGAATACATTTTTTCTTAGTCAGAACGCACCGTCGCGTCGCGTCGCTTGGACTATCAGGACGAAACAGTAGATGAATTTCGTCCAAAAACCGATTTGCACTTCACAGCTTACGTTTCATTTTTATTATGTCCAAATGAAACTCTTGCAGCGTGCTAAAAACAAAGTCCACAGGGTGCCAGCGATCCACTTTTTCGATTTTATCCACTAGGATATTTTTAAAATGTCAAGAAGTTGAGCACAAATAGTAAGCATTTCAAGCCACCATAATTCTTGCGCAAAGACAAAATTTTGTAAAAAGCTCTGATGTACCCTAGGCAATTATGCCCTGCTTATGTTATATCCAGAAAAACATCACAAACTGCAGAACACAAATTGAAGGTAAGGGCGAAATGGGTACATTTCACGGGTCATGAAATTCAAATTATAAAATCTACCAAATTGTCGTTCTCAAAAACATATTTCCTTGACATATCGATAATCTTAAAGTTCCACGCTAAATTCCCCTATA